CTCCAGCGCGGACTGGAAGTCAACGCAGGCCTGCGCAAAGTTCTCCGACTCCATCGACACGTCGCCCAGCAGCATCAGCGTCTCGGCGTACTTTAAGCGCGCCTTGCTGTCGCTGGCATTGCTCTCCTGGATCACCCTTGCCACATCCAGCACCGCCCACGCCGCGCCAAAATCATCCTCCTCATCCTCATCCTCCTGCTGCTCTTCCTGCTCCGCCTCTTCGATCTGCCGGAAATCTGGCTCCCCCTCAAAGGCAATGTTGGCCTTGCTTGGCATCGCCTCCTGCTCTGCTTCCTCTGTGGGCTTGGCGCCGGTGGCCGCCTCCGCCAAGGTCTTTTGCGCCAGGAGCGCGTTCTGCTCGATCGCGTGCTGCAAGAGGGCGCGGCCGTACATAACCAGGCTGTCGGCGTAGCGGGCCGAGTTCTGGCCAAAGGTCTGCTCCGTCAGCGACGAGAGCTCGCCGAAATGCTCAATGGCCTCTTCCCAGTTGCTTAGGGCGAAGGCGCGGGTACCGGATTCGACCAAATCGGCAATGACGGGCAAGACGGCCGCGTACGGGTCTGACGTGTCGGCCTGCTTTCCTTTATCGCTGGACATGGTAGAAAGCAAAATATATAAAAATGAAGAAACTGAAAGGAATGAGAAAAAGAATTTTTTTGCACCCAGCGAACGCATTTATTTTTCTGTAGTTGCTGGAGCCACAAGTAAGGTAATGGAGTGCTGACAGACATATCTTGAATCGCCGTTGTTAAGTACTGGGACCAGGGTGAACATTTGCCAGCTTTCTTCGCTTTCGTTTTTATTTTTATTTCAAAGCATGGACGAGCTGTTTAACAAAATCGACGCCCAGGTGGACATAGCACTTGGCACACTGTTCCCGGTGGCCTCCCAGATCCCCGAGACCAGCGATGCGCAGCAGCGTGCGCAGGACTTTAGCGCGCAGGTCACGCAACTGCACGGACAGCTTCTGGACATCAAGCAGATGATAGACGCATTGCCCAATGCGCGCAACGACCCGGAAATGGAACTGCACAAGGAGATCCAGGAGCTGACTGCGGACATTCAGGCCAAGAACACAGTGCTCGAGAAACACAAGGAGGTATTGAGGATGCACGCAGAAAAGCTGCGCGAAACCGACCTGGAGAACAGACGTGTTATTAGCGGCAAATAAAGACAGCAGATATGGTCTACTTGAACCTCTGGATGTGCGTAAAGATGTATGCGGCCTGCTGCTGCTCCAGGTGCCCCTTCACGCGCAGCTCCAATGCAGGGTCGCTGGCGATCTGCTTGGCCAGCTGCTTGAGCACCGGCAGCTGGTTCAGGAACATGGAGGTCTTGCGGAACAGGCCGGTGGGCAGATTGCGATCAATGGCCACGATGTAGTCCAGGCACACCTGCATGCCGTCCCAGCTCTGGCGCTTCAGGTGCAGCCGCTGCACAAAGGCGATGCGGGCAATCAGATCCGGCTTCAGACGGAACTTGGGCGTCCGCAGCGCCTCCAGCAGCCACTGCTCCCACTGCAGGCTGCGCGCGTACCCGCCTGCATTCACATAGGCGCCCACCAGCTCCAGCACCAGCACAAACTCCCAGTCGCGCATATACCGGCGGCTCGCCAGCGCCCCGGCATCCCGGCGCTCTACACCCACGCGCTCCAGCGCCGCTCCGACCGGCTCACCTTCCGGCTCAAACATGTTCTGCACACGGCCGCCTTCCTTACTGGCCTGCTGCCACTGCGCCCACACGGCCGGCGACACACGGCCCTGCAAATGCAGAGTCTGCAGACACACGGAGAATGCGTGCTCGGCTCCCACTGCCGACGCGCGCTGTGCACCCATATAGCGAACGATCAGTGCGAACGACGCCTCGCTCGGCTGCGTACGGCCGCCGTAGTTGAGCTCCTGGAACACCGCCAGAGCCTCGCGCAGCTGGCCGGTCGCGAAATGCACGCGCATCAGCAGCTCCTGGATACGCGGCGACTGCTGGTCTAGCTGCCTGGCGATATCCAATGCCAGCGCCCGGTTGCGGCTCGTTACGCAGCAGTACAGGATGCTGGCAGCCACCCGCGGCGTTATCGGGACCGTGGGTTGCTGAGTCAGCAGCAGAGGCACGAGCTTCTGCAGTGCGGCGTCGGCGCCACGCCGGAACATCGACATGACGCAGAACATGTGCTCGAAAAACGTCTGGGACCGCGCACTGACCAGGGCCAGGGATCCGGGCATTATGCACACACCGGAGCCTTCCACCGCCGCCTCAAGCTCCGCCATCGCCGTCTGCGGCCGCCCGCGCAGCACCGCAATCCACGCACACACAGGCGCCAGCCGACTGTCCGACTCGGCTTGCCGCGTGCTCTGCCTGGCCAACTCCAGCAGCTCGTCGGCGCACGGATGCATGCTGTAGTGCGAGGGCCGCTGCAGGAACCCGTCTGCAGGCACAAACGCCGATGCGTCGCGGAAATTGCCGCGTCTGGCAGTCTTCCACACTGACTCGGGCAGCAGCGCCAGCAGCGCCGGCTCCAGCTCGGCCACCGACAGCAGGTGGCCGTGCCTCCTCGCATATGCAATCTCCGCCCGTACCACCGCCAGCTTGCGCTGCTGCGACATCTGTGGTGCCAACAAAACCGCCCACAGGAACCCGCGCAGCGGCCGCACAGTCTGGCCCGCCGCCAGGTGCTTGTGCAGCCGCTTGGACAGCGACCCCAGGCTGTCGACCACTGGCTGGCCGGCGGTCGTTGCAAGCACATGTGCCAGGCACTCTACGTCAAACAGCCTGCGCGCCAGCCCTGCACTCTGCCACTGCCTGCTGTGCAGTGTCTGCTTCATGCGCTCCCGCAGAGAGCTGAACTCCTGCAGCAAGTGATCCGCCAGCCCCTGCGCATACTTGGAGCTGTGCGCACGCGACGCCCGTGTGTGCAGGTTTTGCGTGAACGGCAGCCGCGGCACCACCGAGCGCATGCCGGCCGCCAGCAGCTGCATCTGCACGTGGAAGCCCGTCTCCATGCGTCCCGCCTGATCCGCCCACACAGCATCGTTGCTTTCTGTGGCCTTCCACGCTGCCATAGCCTCGTCGACCCGCGCTGTCTCCGCCAGGCACAGGCTCAGCGCTGCCTGGGCCTCGATCTGCTGCGCATTGGCCAGACCCGTGACGCCCCGCAGTGTCTCCACCGCCCGGTCGTAGTCCAGGCACCGCGCATACGCCACCGCCAGCTCAAATCTGTCTTCCTTCCCAAGCTCTCCTGCGTTCCCCACAGCCTCCCGCAATCCACGCGCACTGGACGCAAATCCCAAGGCGCGGATCCGCAGCCTCAACCACCCCTGGTCTAGTCCGCAGTCAGCAAACACCTGCAGCGCCGTCAGCCCCGCCAACTCGCGATCCGCCGAAACCGCAAACTGCCGCGACAGCACTGCCTCCAGAACCGCCTCCAGGGCCTCCGCATCTGCCTGCTCGCTCGCATATCCGGTGTCTGATAGCCGTCTGTCCGTGTGCTGCTTTTGCGGCCTAACCGCCAGAATCAGATCAAGGCCATCCAGCACGTCCTCCCACAGCGCCTGCTGCGCAATTGTCCTGGCTAGCAGTTGAACCAGCTGCGTGTCTTGGATCACATTGCGCACTGGCTGTCCCTGCATGTCCACGAGCTGATTGGTGTCGCGCAGGTGCCGCGCCAATTTGTACGCTTGCTTGATGTCACTGCTGTGTAGCTGCTCCAGTGCCTGCGCCCGCATAAGTGGTGTGGCCGGTAGAGTCGTGTATTGTCGCCGGATGTCGAGAACCTGTGGTCTGTGGAGAAGCCGTGGTGTGGGGGCCGTGGATCGCAGCACTGTGGTCAGGGCTCGGGGTGCTGCGCGTGCGATCAAGCGCCGTGCCGCCGGACTCTTGAGCAGCGACGACATTCTATGTAAAAAAAAAGAGACTGTAACGAATTTACTTTCGGCCTATGTTGAATTGAAACAAAAAAGGCGCAGGAGATTCAAACTTTACGATAATGGAAAAAAACGGTAAATACCAGATCGGCTTTTGCATATCTGGTCCAGCAACGGCGGTCGTGATCTCTTAATCCCGTAATCAGGCGGTTCTGACCCTATGTGCTGGCACGACGTCAATGCCAGTTCAATGAATACGCACAGCCTGCTGCTATTTCTCTGACTCTTCAGCTTTTTTCTCCTGTACTATTATCTTTTTTTTATTCACAATGCCTAGCCCGCTCGAGCAGTGGTATTTCCAAATTCCCCCGGTAACGCGCTACTACATCACAGCCGTCTGCCTGCTAACTGTGGCCACGCAGCTCGGCTGGCTCGGTTGGTTCCAGCTCTTCTACAACTACGAATACGCCTTCCACAAGGCCCAGTACTGGCGCCTGCTAACCACCTTTTTGTATTTCGGCAATTTCTCGCTCGACTGGCTGTTGAACATGTACTTTGTAATCCAATACAGCCGCGACCTCGAAGAAGGCTCGTACCTGAACCGCCCCGCCGACTTCTTCTGGCTCCTGATCCTGGTCTGCTCATCCCTGCTGGGCATGGCATCGCTACTGGATATAAGCTTTCTGGCCAGCCCGCTGAACTTCACATTGACGTATATTTGGGCAAGGCAGTACTCGTATATGAATATCAGCTTTCTGGGCCTGTTTACGTTTTCTGCGCCATACCTGCCGTGGGTGATGGCCGGGTTCTCCAGTCTGGTCGGGAATCGCTGGCCGGTCAGCGATCTGGTGGGCATCTTCGTCGGCCACATCTTCTGGTTCTTCGAGGAAGAGTGGCCCAGGCGGCCCGAGAGCCAAGGCCGCAGGGTGTTGAGGGCCCCTAGGGCGCTTTGCCGCCTATTCCACCAAGACGATAATGAAACTCCAGAGCCCGAGGAGCCAGTAGCACCTGAGGAGCCAGTAGCACCCGAGGAGCCAGCGAGAAACGAGCAGTTTGCCAGCCTGTCCAGCAGCTGGGACGCCGAATCCTCCGACCCCCAGCACCCAGCCCGCATATGAATCCCGGAGAAAATAGTGAATAGATTTATTTACCCTGCATTTCATCTAGCCTCTGCATCTTGCTATCCAAGGACTCGAGCTCCACCGAAAGCTGTGACTCCTGCCGCTGCAGCAACGCGCGCGCATTGCGCACGTCCTGGAGTTCCAATCGGATTTGCGTGTTCTCGGGTATTTCGGTGGGTGCGCGCATAACCGTGGTTTTCTGCTGCTCTTCGCGTCGGTCCTTTAGCTGAACACCAATGTATAGGCCCAGCGGCGCTACTAAGAGGCCCAGCAGTATTGGCTTGTTGTTGTATAGGGCCTGGCGTAGCGATGGCATCTGTGTTTTCTATATAAAATGATGATATGGCCTGGATTGCGTGGAGTGGGTGGGCGTTTGTCACTCCGCAGCGTAGGAGAGGTGGATCTGCTGGTTAGTTAGAGACTATGGTTCCGTACGTCCCTTGTGTGGATCAGACCACTCGACTGTTTGTTTTCACAGCAGGCACTGACGAAAAATTACTGGGAAAGGACCAGCCGGGCGTTGTAAATGGGCAGTCCAGGATACCGACAAGGGCCCCAAGAGAGAATGAGCTAGATCACTCAGGAAAGGGGAGAGGCGCTTTTGAGTGAAGGAAAGCATTTTGCGTCTCCCCCGGTTAAGAAGTTCACTCGTGAAATCAGAAATCGACATAGCACCTTTTTCTCGCTCCCCCCTTGTTTATTTTTTTATTTCCTAAAGAATGACCAGCGGTAATCCAATTTTGCCGTCAGAGCCACTGGCACTCCAGCCCACTTTGCTTGCCGCCGCAGTGGTCGCCGAGGAGACTAGCGGCAGGGGCACGCGCAGCAATAGCCGCGCACGTAAGCGCTCGGACAGACGGCAGTTTGGACGCAGCGAGTCGCCCAACTACACGGCCAGTCCGCGCAGAACGCACGAGCACTCGGAGCATACACGGAATGGCGCTGGCTGGGAGCGCAGCGAGCACGCGTACTATGCACCTAGGCACAGCAGGTATGGAGAAACCTTGCTTTTTATTGCATGAAAATAGGGCTGGCTGAAATACTAATGCCTTTCTCTGGGTAGCCGGGATGCGGGTAGGAGTCAAAAGGTACGTTGGACGAAAAAATGCTTCAGTAGCTATATTGCGTGTAGCTGTTGATGGGCTGAATGGGAATAATAAGTGTAGGAACCACGGCCGTCGCGTGTGCTGGGCATTTTTGGCATGAGCAAGTTTACGACCGAGCATAATCTGCACGAGATCTTTGGCCAGTTTGGGCGGGTCGACAAGGTCCAGGTCATCAAGGACCCACACGTAAGTTGAAGAAGAAGAAGAAGGCGCTCTCAGTCGACATTTCTTTGGTAAAGCTAAAGAACTCCTTGTCTATTTAGGACAACCGGTCGCGCGGCTTTGCGTTTGTAAATATGGCAGGGTTCGAAGATGCCATGCGCGCGCGCAATGCCCTGGACGGCACGCTTCTGCACGAGCGGCGGGTGCGCGTCGACTATTCGTTCACCAGCCGCGCCCACTCGCCGACGCCCGGGCGCTACAAGGGCCAGGAAACGTGGCAGATCCGCCGCCGGAACAGCCGCGACCGCCGGCGCCCCGCCCGCCGGTATATGCGCAGCCGGTCACGGGACATGCAGAGACGCCCCCACCGCAGCCGCTCGCCCTACCGCAACGGCAGGAGCCGCGACCACGACCGCAGCGGGCATAACCGTGGGCTGAGCAGAGACCGCGGACTGAGCAGGGACCGCGGGCTGAGCAGAGACCGTCGGGTGTTGCGTAATCCGCAGTAAATGTTTATTTTTCTTGTCGCAAACTGCCGGTTTATAAAAAGAACCTCATAGCGTTGAGGAGAGTTGCAGTGGCCGGTGGAGGAAGCGCGAGCGGCGCGGCTGCCGGAACGTCAGCTGGTTGGCGGGCATGTCGGCGAGCCAGGCTACTGGTGCGGCGTGGTCAGCAAGCAGCTTCGTGCAGGTGGCCCAGCTGAACCGGATGATGTCTGGGTAGCCGAATACTGCGTCGAGATTGTCCTTGAGCCACGCGACTGTATTCGGGTCGCCCGGATACCCCGACCCGTAGTTCCTCGGCACCTCCAGCCCTTCCTCAAACACCCACTTGGCCAAGTGCTCGTCCCTCGGCACCTTTGCGCAAATACTGGCCGCGCTCACAATCGGATACAGCGCATCGGCCTTCTTCGCCACCGTGATCTCTATATCCGGGAACACCTGCTGCAGTTTGCGCTGGTACGAGGCTGGCGGGCCCACCGTATCAACAAACACCTTCGTGACCTTTATGCCCCGCGCAATGACCTCCTGGATCAGCCCAATGGTCGCGTCGTGCGCCAGTGCATTGAGATTGTATTTGGCCGTCTGCAGCATGCTGTTTGAGATCTCTGCTGGCGCCAGGCACCGGATCGCCCAGCCCGAGTACTGCAAAGTTTGCAGCTTTGCAAACAGGCTTGTGCGCTTCTCTTCGGTCAGCTGCTTGGAGTCTGCGAAGCCGACCGACGAGAGCTCATTGTAGTGTGATTCTTTGCAGAAACACACTGCGTACACCATCGGCCCCAGCACTGGCCCGCGCCCGGCCTCGTCCACGCCCAGCACGTATGTGTCGGTGGGCTGCGATTCCGGCAGCTTAGATACATATGTGTAGGATTTGGCCAGGTGCGTCGCCATGGGCATGCCAAGATCGGTGAATATTGTTTCCACCGGAATCGACGCGCGCACGTTTGCTTGGCGGCTCGGGAGTGGTGCTGTCGGCCCGTGGGTTCTTGCCAACCATTATTGTTTTGGAAGCGAAAAGGTGAGTGAGCAAGGATTTTACCAGACTCGTTATTTAAAAAATACACAATTTGGGATACCAGTGGATATGCAAGAGGAAGAGCCATTATGGCCGGACACTTCTGGGATGTCTACCTGGAGAATACCAGTTGCATCCCATGGGGACATTTCTTCAAAAAGCCTTACTCCTTCCACAAATCTCGATCGCACTAGATTCTTTTTGCAGAGATGCGCTGACGACGGAGCGCCTGTGCCTTTTGTATGACATCATTGCTTCAAAGCCCGTTCTGAATTGGGGATTGGGAAAATCATCTGGTCGCAGCCTTGAAGCCGCAAAAACAGAACCAGCAAGGCAGCGACAACCCCTGCCTCTCTCCTTCCACTCGCGCACTGCTAGATTCCATACCTTCTATCACTAAATGCCACCACCTGCGCAGGCCCTCCTGCGCCTAGTCATTGAGCAAATCGTATACTATGCGGCCGCCTACACCAAAACCAAGTACAATCCATCCCAGCGCCTCACATGCCATGAGCTGTCACGCACTCTCTCCCTCTCCCACGTCTGCCGCAGCTGGCGCCACACAATCCCTACCAAGCTCTACTAACATGTGACCTGGTGCCAGACCAACTGCGCTCGCTGTATGATATGCTAGTGCTGCTATCACGCCCTCCTGCGCTCCCTGGAAGATGCCGCGGCACTGGGCTTCGATGGCACTGTGCAGTCAATACATGTGCATATGCGCATATGCGATATGTTCAATGGCTACGCTCTAAAAGAGCTTTTGAGGATCCCTGGTAGACATGTATTGAAGCGTGCTAGGCATTTGGAGGTTGAAGTGGAGTTTGCGTGGCCGAAGCGGTGGCAGGTGGAGAATGACAGCGGTGAGGCGTTTTGTGAGCAGCTTAATCGGCTCCTTCCCAGTGTCGAATCGGCGTCTGTGGATATGATGCGGTGCGGCAAGTCCTTGCCAGGAGAAATGCAGCTGGCAAGTCTATTCAACTGGATGTTGAAGGGTGTCTCTAATTTGCACATGGGGCTGTGTTCGCGCAGCGAATTGCTAGCAGCCACTGGAGATCTGCAACTCACCAGTGTCGGTTTTAGTTGTGCAGACAATACGCCGGCACCCGGTGAGCTGATCCGCTGCCAGTCGCCGACACTAGAACGCATTCGCCTGGAGGCAACGAGAACCCGTGCATTCTCTGCCATGGTCTACGATGAATCGGGCAGTCCGGTCACATACCCTCGTGTACACACATTGACCATTAGCACAAAACTGCACGCTATCAACGATGTTGTTGGCACTAGTGCATATGCAAAACATTGCAATGTTTCCCGTTCTCGAGCAGCTCACAATCGCAGACGCCTATCGTTTTCCACGGCTGCGGTTTTCCATGGCACACAGAGGACATTGCGCAAACTGTCGATGTCAGTGCAGCTGTTTATATATCATATTTTCTTGCACGACGAGGCCTTTAAATGCGGCCCATTTGTGTGTCTGGAGAAGGTCGAGATCCAGAGCGGTCGGTTTCTCTCCGATGACTTTATTGACAGGATCTTGCAGGCATGGTGCAAGCTCAGCTGCAGTGCCGTCACCGCCACTCTGGCATTTTTGTTCCGGTACCGCTCGACCGCCTGCCGACAACTATGTTGAGTCCGTATTTGCACAGATTGCAACTGGATGCTGTCAAGTTCACCGTCGCGCAGGCTGCCCAGGTTATTTCAACGCTCCTTGATATCACCTATTTGTCGCTGAGCTTGCACCGCAGCAATATGCTACACTACGATGATCCTGTACATAGCCACTGCAGGGGCACGTGCAGTGAATTCGACGATAGCGATTTGTTTGGAGTCATGGGCGTGGTGTCAGACCACCCGCATCTGGACTTTTTAAAGTTGCATGTGTATGCAGTGAAGGAGGGGATTGGTGATATGATACAGTACGGCCAGCTGTGTCCAAGGCTTGCAGAGCTGGCATTCCGGTGTGTCAATAATCTAAATATGGTAGAGCTATGTCGCACCACAGTCATGTTCTTGTATCTGTGCCTGACTGTCAGGAGCGTAGAGTTTTATAGCGCGCAAATTGAGCAAATGTGCGTACTCCAGCCAAATGACATCCCGGCAGAGTTACTCCAAAGTGCAGAGAGACTACTATATTGCTTTACATGCAATCGTGAGGTATACTGTTTATTGATACTTTGTCAGTCAGTTTTGTGCGTCTTGGAGATGTTCGCGGTACAGGTCAATTTTCTGGAATTCCCTTGCCGCAGAAGCAGCAGCCCAGTTTTATCTCGTAGCTGACCACAAATAGTGATAAAGTGGACCACGCCGAGAGTATTGTGTGGTGCGGGGGTTACCAGATGCCCCTCCTATACTATCAGATGTCATTTATGTGTGCGTCCTCTGAACCAGCAGCACAAACACTTCCGATTGACTATCAGGTATCAATATTTCTCTCAATCGCCATACTACCAGGCAACCCCAGTATCCTGTAAAGATCCTGTCAAACATATCTCAGCCAGATCCAGTAGAACACCGCAGGTATCGGCTTCTA